GGAGGTTGACAAGTGACCCTGTGAGAAGAACAGAAACAAGGGAGAAAGGTTCCAGAGAAGGAAAAGGGGGAGAAAGAGAGGGAAAGAGAGAGGGAAGGGGGAGGAAGAAGAGAGAGAAAAAGAGGGAGGGAAGGAGGAGAGAGAGGAGGAGGAGAAGGGAGAGAGGAGGACAAATAGGGGAGAGGAGGGGATGAATATGTGAGAAAAATGCTAAGGGAAGGAGCGGCTTTCAGAATAAGGAGGAGCGAGCTGGAGGCGGGGACGAGGAAGTGGGTGTTAGGCGCACGCCACCAGCTCCATCCTTGCCCCAGCCAGTGCAGGCGCGCGGACCTAAGCGACCCGGTGCTGGCAGCCCACAGCAGCAGCACCAGGTAAGGTAAGGTGGCCGCCGCCTCCCGGGAGACGTTTCCTCGGGATGGGAACGCGGGTGGGTGACGCGATGACCAGGCTGTGGCGTGGACGCTTTGGCTGCCTGCTCCAGGATCCTCGGGGTGCATTGTGACCCCGTGCCCAGTTCGACCTCGGGCTGCGCTGCAAACGGCAGGCACCTGACCTTGAGCTAGCGCCTCTACCTCGGTTTCCTCCCTGTAGCCCTCAAGGGTCTTACCCACCACAGAGGGGGATTAAGAGCCAGACCCCATCCTGCCAAGCCAGGGATTGTGGGGCAGCCTCAGACGCCCCCTACCCGCTAGGGTGGATTTGAAAGTCTACCTTCACTTTAAGGCTTGCTTTGTCCCTTAAGTCTGGGCGGTGGCGGTTGCATTGCTCCCCTGATGTATGTGTGGGAGCTTGGAGAGACTTTTGGATTACTGAGCACCAGTGAGGAGCCTGGGGCTGACGGGAAGGAGGCTCTCTAGTTTCTCAAGAACAGGTCGCCCTGCCTACATCCTCCTGAGATGCTGCCCCATAATGGGGAACGAGGACCCCCCTGCGCTCGACTGGTAGGGAGGGACTGCTCCATCAGGGACTTCTGGTAGCTGATGTCTGGTAGAGGAAGTGGCCTTGACTCTGGCTTTGGCCTCTGGAGCAACCCAGTGACCTTGAGCCTGGAAGCCTCAGTTTCCCCACCTGACACGCATTCTGACAACAGGTTGATGCTGCTGGTCCTGTGCTGGCCCTGAACATGAAATATGATCGTGAAATGCATAGCTCAGGGCCTGGCACCTAGCATGTACCCCCGATCAGCTATGGTTCCCTGCTGGTTCCCTGTGTAGGGGGCAGAGTAGCTACACGCTAACTGGAGGTGGCTGATGACTGTCGGGTACCCTTACCAAGCATTGCCTCTAAGGGTCAGGAAGGAAGGTCACTTCTCAGTGTCCCACAGAAAGCTGATACCAGGCCGACTCGCCTGTGCAGCTGACTCCTCTCCACGCTGTATCACCCTGTCTGGGTCAACCTCCTCCCCTTTAGTCTCAGCCTAGATGGTTTCCCCGGGTTCTGAAGCTGGCGCATTCCCTCCGTGCTGGACTAATAGCTAATTTGCACTAACTGCATTGACTCAGATGTGTATTATCCAACTCCCATGAAATGAAGGATACATCAGAATTGGAGGGACAAGGCATAAGGCAAAAATCTGGTGACAGATTCCATCTGGCAAACACTCCTTTTAGAGACACTATCTCCCCAAGATCTGGAGACCTTCCCAGCTGTCATGTCCATGGGGAAAACAAACCCAGCTGTGGTCCCACTCCACCAACGCCCCAAAGAAGTAAAAGCAGGATTAGGCTGCAATCTGAAGGATTTAGCTCATCCCTGGGAGGGAAAACATCCCTGATACTGGGGTAAGGGTCTTGGCAGGCCAAAAATGTTCTTTGCCAAAGGAATTTTAAGACAAGAGTACATTCACACGAAATGATGGGGAGGAGGAAAAAGACTCTATTGATCCTCAAGATAAGCACCCAAACTCAAGAGTGTCTCGACGTCCAACAAGAGGGCTTGGCATGTCTTTACTGCAAACATAGAGCTGGGAATGGAGGGGAACAGCCTAACCCATTGCAGATACAGATGTGGCCCCAGGCTTGTGACAGAAGCTTGGGGGGAGAGGGAGGGGAACTAAAAGGCGGTTAACAATGTTTGCCCAGGTAACAGGGTTGTTCCTCAGACTTTCCTGATTTTATGCAAGGAGCACATACTTGAGTCATCAGCACACAGGCTTCCAAGGCTTCCAGGGCTGTGGTCATGCAGAGAAAGGGAGAGAGTGAATAGAGAGGCGTTTCTGGTGCGGTTCTGTGAATGGACACCCAGCCTCTGAGGCTTCCAGATCCCCTGGAGCAAGTGTCCTTAGAAACAGTTTGCCCAATTAAGTTTGTCACCATCTTTTTTCCCCCCCTATCTTCTATCTGACCCCCACCCATTCCCAGTTCTCATACTTATCTCATTATGAGTTGGATAATACAGATCTGAGAATTCACTCCCCTGCTCAAAAATAAGTCCAAAGTCCTTAGACTGGAATGCATGGCTCTTCTGTGCTTTATTCTTACGGGTATGCACCTCCCCAGGGACCCCTGAAGGTGGAAGTTCTAGAAGCTTTTCTCACCAGTCCCTGCACAGAGCTAGCGTGAGTATTCTTGTCAGTGGCAGAGGACACAGGAACACCTGTGTGGAAACCTGTCAATGTCACAGACGGAAAAGGAATCATAATCACTAATGCCAACAGCACCTGACAATTTGTGTGCTCCCCAACGCGTGAGTAACCATTCCACAGCCCTGCGAGAAGCGATACCCTGGTCCACGTAGGTTATTAAATGGCTCCCGAGTAGCCACAAAGTGATAAGCTCTGTGCTGAAGTCCAGGGACCCAACACAAGGCACCTTTTCTATAGGGAATGCAGAGAGAGAATAGAAACAGGTACCCTAAAATTGGAGAGTGTAGGAAACTGGAGACCTCAGTGGGAGATGCTCAAAAGATTCTGTAATAGTCGCTAGCAAGGAAGGCAGTACTGGCCAAGAATCATGCTGCACTTCAGGGGACTTTGTTGACAACTGCAAGGTTTTGAATGTCATGATGTCAGGAGGGATGCTCTGGCATCTAGCTGTAGAGACTAGGGACACTGTTGAGCAGTCCACAGCCCTGTATACTGCTGTGTACTCCCAGCCCTGCAGCAAAGAATGACCTTGCCCTAAATGTGGATGGTGCTGGGGTTCACAAACCCTAGGGTGGAAGAGATCCCTCCTAAACGAGGATCAGTATGTCCAAGATGTCTGCAGGTAGACACTAAGTGTTCTTGTGAGTTGGCCACCCCCAACCAGTATCTGCTCTGCTGGCTGCCGGGCTCCCATGCTTCCACTTCATGCCTCCAGAAACCAGGGTGGCCTTTTATTTAACTATAAAGTTTTATACTAGAAAATCCACCCATTTTAACTGTGCCAGTCAAGGGTTTAATAGAGTCGCTGGCATTAAACCCTTAAACCATTAAACAGCACTCTAAACCTGACCCACACCCATCGTATAGGTTACTCGTATTGGTGGGTCCACAGTTGCCAAATTTTAAAACCACTTTCACCACCACTAAAGCAAACCCGTGCACCCTAGCAGTTCACCCTCCCCTTCACTCTTCAGCAGCACCCACCTCAATCCAGCTGCTCATCTACTTTCTAGCTCTGTAGACCTTTCTGTTCTGGACATCTTGGATAAATACTCTCACAACATGGGACCTTTTGTGACTGACTTCTTCTACCTTGGAGGATCTGTCCCAAACATTCAGGTAAAGCTTCTCACCTCACTTTCTT